GGTGTTACTCACCTATTGAGAAGAAACAAAGCAACCTCGGCGTCCGATCGCAGGCCTCCGCTCCTTGAGTTCTCTCCAGCACTGGAAAGCTGATCCAATATTTTACACGGGTCCTACTTCTTGCCTTATCTTTCCGCAGACGTTTTCCTCTTTTGTTTTTTTATCCGCCATCTCTATCTTTCTGTCGCTCGGCTAATGTCCGTTCCATGCACTGAACGCGCTCTCCTCCACATCACGAGTAGACACGCCCCTTATTGCTGATTGGCTACAAGTTTGTTTTGCGATTCGGCCCGAATCAGTTTTCTAAAGTGTTTTTGAAAAATCACTTACTCTGCCTTTAAATGGTGTCATTAAATGGTCCATTTGACTTGTGTGATGTTCCAATTCAAATTTATAGTCACTGACATCCATCAAACTCTTTGCAACGACTTTACAAGAGTATTGATGGTCTTTTGAGTGAGATTTTTTTAGTCGGTTCATCCAGTTCAAGAAACTGATCTGAATGATTGGTGCACAGTTCGGACTGATTTGATCAGTTCACTGAGTCACTGATCTTGTCGCAGCTGTTCTTGGGTTAATAGCTCATTGCATGGCAAGATTATGAATGAATAATGACTTCAAATTTGATCTGAAGAAAATATGGTTTGGAACACTTGAACAATAAATGACAGAATTTTCATTTTTTGGTGAACTCTCCCTTGAAATAGTTGCTATGGCAACACTTGTCAAATAGATAGTTGTTTGCTGCACCCATAGAAAATGAAATCAGATACTGTTTCTTCTACAGGCTTGGATTGAACTCCTGAAACCAGTGGCTAAGCAAATCAAAAGTGAGTTTTGTTCTGTCATTTTTGTTTTGTTGTGACAAGGTCCACTCGGTTAATTTTTTAGGTCACACTTTAGTTTGGGGACCTTCTCACTATTAATTATTAATTACGACTTTTGCCTATTAAACTCCTAATTTGCTGCTTATTAATAGTTAGTAAGGTAGTTGTTAATAGAGTAGGATTACGTGATTTTAAATATTGTCATTCAGAATAAGGCATTAATATGTGCTTTATATGTAGCGGGGCGAACGAGACGAGAGACGTGCGGATCCATACGTATAGCTTTATTCAGAGACATGGTCAGAAGCAGGCAGGGTCAAAACATCAGCAAACAGGTATGGCATAGACGAGACAAGAACAATCCAAAACGGGCGTGAGTCAGTTGACAGCGAACGTTATCCAGAGGGCTTGACAAGAGGGGTAACGTTAATCCAGAAACACGAGCAATAGTCCAGGCGAGGTACAAACAGAATCCGAACGGCGAGACAAGGGTTAATCCAAGAAACACAGGCAAGAATCAGAATACGAGAAAACAGGCAAGGCAAAACTATGACTAGACTATGAAAACTAGAAACTGCCTCCGTAGAGTAGCTATCGCTAGGAGAGTGATAAACGCTATACAATACTCGGCAGTGAGAGCGAGGAAGTCCATGGCCTATGTAGGGTGTGTGATTGGTTACAGCTGTGGGTGTAATCAGTGCAATGGATGATGGGAAATGTAGTCCAGGGTATAGTGTAACAGTCTGTGTAGTGTGAGAGTCCATGTGGTGAGCGGGTGACCTCTGGTGGTGAGTGAACGGAAGTTCATAGACCGGATTCGTGACATTATAAGTACTAATAAACAGCCAATATGCTAGTAATATGCATGCTAATAAGCAACTCGTTAATAGAGAGAATTGGTCCCTAAACTAAAGTGTTACAATTTCTTTATTATTATTTGCTTAGCAAATGCTTGTTATGCTAACTTATAGTAGTGTTGAATGGGGAGTGATGCATTAGTTTTGCTTAAGTTTTACTATTGGCAAGGAGAAAGGTTTAAGATGGAAGGATTAAAATAGGATTTCCATAAAAAGTGATTCAATAATTTAGTGATCCAACTTGCCCCCAAACTCTTTGACATAACACTCACTATACTGGCCATGTAGAAAACTACATCAACAGCTAGAAATGCTGCTGACATGCTTTTTTGCAAGTCAGCAGCATTTTTTGCAAATGAACATACTTTTAAAAATACATAAAAATACTGTATCTTGAGAACATATCCCCTGGCACATCTTACCCCACTCTCCCCTACCCTAGATGCTTACTGTTGAATATGTAATCTCAGAAGTCGGTATTCACCAATTATCGATTCAGTTCTTTCCTGCATTGAACCTTTAATTTACCATCACAGATGCTTAACCATTAGACCACAACCATCCTGATCCTTTGCCTTTAGTGAATGTTAAGCTTATTAATAAAGTAGGCTTAATGCTAGTTTTATCGGTCTAATAAGATAGTGTGCTTCTCACCCATAGATATCAGTGATGTGGCTTTCCATTTTATAGTGAAGTTTTTCCCTCCTGACCCAGGACAATTGCAGAGAGGCTTAACAAGGTAAACTCCACGCACATGATTATCTGATATATAGGCAGATAAATAGATGGTGATTGGTCATATGCGTTCAGTCTGACAGCTGCCTCTTTTATACAGGTATCTGTTTGCCCTTCAGATCAAACAGGATCTGTCAAATGGTAGCCTTACCTGTAACGATAACAGCGCCGCCCTGTTGGTCTCTCATATACTGCAAGGTACTCCTCTTACCTCATTGAATGTTTGCATAACATCAAAATACAACACTTTTAAATCCTACCTTTGATTATCTTATGCACATTATACTTTTCCCTCTCTGTCCCCATTTGTAGCAGAAATCGGGGATTATGACAACGAGTTGGATGCTCATCATCTTGAAAATAAGCAATATGTTCCAAACCAAGAATACTTGGACCACAAAATCATTCGCTTTCACAAAAAGCACAGGTAAGATACAGCTACACACCATGCAAGTATACCAGAATGATAATATTCCCACTGAAATCCATATATAATGTATAATGTAATGTCCTATAATGTACACAGTGCTTGGTAGATTACTTACAAATTGTAATACGCTACTGATTACAAATTACATGACAAAAATTGTAGTTAGTAATGTAATCTAGTACAGTGCACATTTTAGGTAATATACAGTGGGTACGGAAAGTATTCAGACCCCCTTAAATTTTTCACTCTTTGTTATATTGCAGCCATTTGCTAAAATCATTTAAGTTATTTTTTTTTCCTCATTAATGTACACACAGCACCCCATATTGACAGAAAAACACAGAATTGTTGACATCTTTGCAGATTTATTAAAAAAGAAAAACGGAAATATCACATGGTCCTAAGTATTCAGACCCTTTCCTCAGTATTTAGTAGAAGCACCCTTTTGATCTAATACAGCCATGAGTCTTTTTGGGAAAGATGCAACAAGTTTTTCACGACTCTGTGGAAGAATGGGCCAAAATCACACCTGAGCAATGTATTCTACTATACAGGTTTCTCCATACAGGAGGCGTCTTGAAGCTGTCATTACCAACAAAGGCTTTTGTACAAAGTATTAAATAAATTTCCCTGTGTCATTCCATTTTATTACACAGAACTTAAAGGGGTCATATGACGTTGCTAAAAAGAACATTATGTTGTGTAATGTGTATTTGGTGTAATGCAATGTGTTTATGC